TGGATAATCAAGATGTTCAACTAAACATCTTTCTAAAGTGCTGACTACTATTCTTTCTACAGTAAAAGATGGCCTTCAAAAATATTGTGATGAGATATATTTCACCAGTGGTGTCAATCAGATGTGGATTCTTAAAAATTCTAAAGATCTACTGCTAAATCTTAGATCACAGTCTCTGCAATTTTGCAGCAACATTAAAACTTTTGATTTTTCTACGCTTTACACTACTATTCCCCATGCTCAATTGAAAGATCGACTTCACCATCTTATTAAACAGAGCTTTTTTCTATAAAAATGGGAATCTTAGATATAAATTTCTTGTTTTGGTTTTTTGATAATTCTTATTTTGTGAATAACCACACTGATTCTAACAAAAAATATACTGAAAATAATATTATCAAAATGCTGGACTTTTGATCAACAATATATTTGTTGATTGGAGGATTGATATTTCAACAGACAGTCGGTATTCCAATATGTACTAATTGTGCACACCTACTGGCCGATTTGTTTTTGTACTCGTATGAAGCAGAATTCATTCAGAACCTTCTAAAAGACAAAAAGAAAAAGCACCTTGCGAAATTCTTTAATTTTTCTTTCAGATATAATGATAATGTCCTATCACTGAATAACCCATATTTCAGTCAGTACTTACATCTCATATATCCCAGTGAACTTGAAATTAAGGATACTACTGATACTAGAAGGACTGCTTCATACCTTGATCTTTTCCTCAATATTGACACAGATGGACGACTTCAAACTAAAATCTAGGACAAACGGGACGATTTCAACTTCCCAATTATCAATTTCCCATTTCTCAGCAGTAGCATATCCACTGCCCCATCGTATGGTGTTTACATATCTTAGTTGATACGTTATGCTCGAGCATGTTCACACTACGGACTTCATATACAGGAGTGTGCTCCTTACGCAGAAACTGCTCCAACAGAGTTATAAGGAGGAAAGATTAAGAATGACACTCCGAAAAGTTTATGGACACCATCACAAATTGGTTGATCTATACGATGTGTCTGTGTCTAAACTAACTAACGACATTTTTACCACGTCTTAGATTGTGGTTTACCATCTACGTCGTCTGGTCTGCTAAGTACCGAACATGACCTATTCCCGAATATGACTATTTGCCGAGTGTGAATTTACATTGCTATTAGACGTGTATCGGTATTTATAAATTCAACTTTCATTTATTTAGTTATGATGTGTCTTTTGTAAGTCTGGTTGGATATGGTGTTATGTCTTATCGTTTGTAGTTTGAATTTTTTTTTTATTTTCTATATGTATGTAAAAGTTAAGATAATTTATCAGCTAGTTCATTTATATGATTTTTAGTTTAAAGCAACTATATGTACAGGATTTATTTGTTTTTACACAGTTTTGATTTAGAAGAAAAACCGACATGGTTAGAAAATACAAATAATTACACAATTCTATATCAATATTCTTGTAATGGTTAGAAAATACATAAAATAACACCATCACAAACTTAATCCCAATTTTATATTCTATTTTTAGAAATTTACATGTGACGTCACTTTTTGTGGCGTTGATACATTCGTGTGACTCACAGTTCATAATTCTATTGTGGTGTCGGTGTACTGTCGTAAATTAATGGAAGGTGTCCGTTGTTATTCTGTGGTTTACATGTTGTAATGTACTATTATATTATTTATTTATGTATTTCTCTGTCCTAAGTGTTCTTTCGTTTATTTGTACTGTATTCCTGTCACGTAATGTTGTCATTTTAGCGGTATTTTTAACATTGCCATATAAGCGGGAGGTTTGGCTAGCCATTAAAACAGGTTCAACTCACCATTTTTTTTTAAAATGTCCTGTACCAAGTCAGGAATATGGCAGCTGTTATCAAATAGTCCGTTTCTATGTATGTTGGCGTTTTTTTTTGTAGCAGTTCAGTGTTTCTGTTGTTCCGTTGTTTTCCTCTTATAGTTCTTGTGTTTCCCTCGGTTTTGGTTTGTGACCCGGATTTGTTTTCATTTAATCGATATATGACTATTGAACAGGGGTATACTACTTTTGCCGTTATTTAACATTTATTTTACTTATCTTAAAGAATGTAGAGAAAAAACATTTATAGCGGTATAACAAACAAAAACACATTTTGTAAATTAACTTTTTAATTTACAATAATGACGTCATACTAATTGATAAACATATTTAAAATTATACACGTTTGGGTATTAATCATCTTACATCAGTTTTATAAAATGACCTCAGCTGAAGAACAGACAAAAACAACAGAAAAAAAAAAAACAAAACACAACACAACACAACACAACACAACCTAAATAAAAGTTTAATTATGTTTATTCAAGACAATTATTTTTTTTAGTTTTGTTTGTACTTCAGGTACATTTTTTAATGTTTATAGGTGCCTGTGTTGACGTCATACCAAACTGTAATCAATATGGACAAACAGTGTGTGTAGGAACTTAAAAACCATAGACATCTAGAAAACTGTGCATATTATAGCAAAATATGTAACGGTACAGTAAACGGTTTTGTTTTCTTATATATATTATATCTATCTATCTATCTATTAATCATAAATATTTATATTATGAAATGGTTACATAAGCAGAAATTTAGATATCAAATCATGAAATGCGTCTTTCAAATATTTATCTGTTGAGGTTAAGAAATACTGTATTGTAAGTAGTACAGTCATAAAATTAAGATCGAATGCATGTTGCAATGCACGAAATATCGAAGAAGCGATGGCAGATAAATATGGTTTTGAACAAAATGCAATGACCGAAATGAGAGCAGAGAAAGGTTGAACTGTACAAGTTACATCAGCAGAATTTGTAGAAATGTCAATACCCAGTTTGATCCAATTTTATATGAAAACTTGATCTCCCGTCTAATAATCAATTAGTGAAATTGTTATAAATTTGTTTGACCGATGTCATTAATTATCATTGATTGTATTTGCAAACATTTATGTTTTGGATCTCAAAACCAGAAAAATCAAATTGAAGAACACAATTCTCACCAAAATTCAGAGGTGAACTAAGTGCTGCAGAGAAGTAGGCAGTTTTTGCTCTATAAGTTGCAACCCGTTGTTCGTAACAATTGAATATCCGGTTGTTAGACGTATTTTGAAATTAGTTATTCACTTCCATAACAAACGAATTGTGACAACGACCTAAAAAAAAAAACAAATTCGTGATCATGTTTGACGTAGATCTTCTGGAACGTTCAACCAATTCATTGAGTCCTTAAGACTTTTTTAATGGATTTCTGTTATTCATGCACATGTTCATTTAAGTCTTAATCATATAATTTAAATACGCGTCTACGTGACAAGCAAATGCAAAATGATTAAAGTGTTCTCTGTTTAGTCCGATTGATTTATAAATTATTTTTTTTAATGATAAAAAAAATATGCCTGTATCCTTCAAAGAATAAAATCGTATTTATACAGCCTAAATGGAACATCTTCAGGAATAAGTAATGTAAGTTTAAGGGGCGCGCTCAAAACGTGTATGAACGAGATATTTTTGCAAAATGTATTATTATTCTTAAAAACAATAAACTACGTATATACATGAAAATAAATATATTTTTTTTTATTATTTTAATCATCCGTCGTTCACTTTTCACGTCTTATTTAGTAAACACACTTCAAATTTATTTCAGACATCTGTTTGTTATAAAAGACAGTATGTTGAGTTTAGATGTATTGACTGTTCTGTATCGTTGGTTTACTGTCTCATCAAAATATACCTCACATCATCTTTTATTATAACCCAAGAGTTGACTTCTTCCGAGCAACCGTAGACCCTTGTTCGTTTGAATGTGCGGGATGAATAAATAAACAGCCACTGTCGGTCGAAATTGGGACGTAAAATCCAATGTCTCGTGTAGCGAGAGTGTCAGTTTCTCGTCTCGTAAAAGAACCATTGGAACAACTCTTTTAGGGTGGTCCGTACGTGGCCTGTTCAAGGTAAAATATTTACCCCTTTTCAACATACCATTTTTCCCCATTGGCAGTCATGCAAATTTACCGACCTTCATTCGTGTCGTCCCATCTTTCAAAACCCACCTAGAATATGTAATTGTAAATAGTTTCTGGTCCTGAATATGTTTGAAATAAGTCATGCCCGATTACCTTTTAGTAAATTGAACTTCAACTAGAAGACCTACACCTGGTTAATAAGTTCGGGTACAAACAAGTAAACAAAAGAGATCCTTTATGAAATGGTTATCTGTTACTTTAATAACAGGATTGTCTGATATAAAATATTGTTCTAATGATAAATGTTCTTTTCTCAGATTTAAAAGATAAATAAGTGAAGGATGTATTTTTTTAACAATGTTTTGTAATAGTCTACTAAATTGAGTTTAGCTTGAGGATACAACAATACGAAATTTCTTCTTTTATAGATACTAATTCTTGCTATACTGATAAAAGAATTTGCGAAATAAAAATCAAAACCTTTTCTTTTCTTAAAAAAAACCAATCAGCATCGTTTGGTCAAAATCAAGCGTGTTTATAAGGGTATCATCAACATTGTACATAAAATTTATTAAAAAGTCTTTCAGAAAATCAGTGAATTGTGACAGATTGACTACTTAGACCACTGGGCCACCGAGACTACAGTATAAATGCCAATGATATGGATATATAAAACAGATCATTCACAATAATCGGAGTATAACAGAGTGGAATGCAACTGTTACAGAGTCTTATTCCAAGGACAAAAATCTTGTCAAGTCTATTGCTATACGATATTCTTTAGAGCGGGTGGCAAAATGCGGCACTCCGTTCGATTTTTCCGGAAGCTTCTCTTTTGAAAGCATTTTTTACTTCCCAAAAATATATTATGCTCAAGAGGGTATTATCATGAACCAGGAATCGTACATTTCTACTACCTAAAGGTATTTGAGTACGTTCTAGAGGAACAATCTAAATAAAAAGTAAACTGATTTTTTTTTAAATCGGCTTTGTTTCAACCATTTAAAGACCTGGCTTTAATAACGAATCAGCTTATTATATAAGCTTACGATAAATACAAAAATATCATTATATATCTGCGAATAAAAAGGAATAACTAAACAAATTTATTAGACTTTCTCAATTTTTGAACGAGTGTATCATAATCTAAATGGATTGGCAATACAGATCATTTCCCCTATATGGTAAGTGTACATGTATTATTATTTGTAGACCGTCTCAAGAATTTCTATATTTACTTATTCAATTTGTCCTTACAACAAATTCGTCTTTGTGCATCCCTATAGTCATGACATGATTATCAATTAGAAAGTTCAAATTGGCGCATCTTTTAAATCACTGAAAGAAAATCTAAGCCTAAACTGTTGAGATACATTGCAATGCAACCTTGCAGTCTAAAAACATGTTTTTAAATTGGATTAACAAATTACAGACAGTCTATACTCTCGGCTTTAATGACAATATCATGGGAATTGGTAATATATCTAGAACAGATTCTGTTAACATTTTGGATATAGTTTCTAAAACAGTTCGTAAAACCCGTTCTCATGGGCGAAGAATAAATCGCGATCAAAGAAAATTTCGTAATAACAATACAAATATTTCGGACCTAATTTCTATTTCAAAAAACAACGGTCGACATTATCTATTAACCAAGCTCTGTTCTTTGTTTGTTAATAAATTACATCAAATTTTGGAGGAATGAAACACAATTCCATATTGCAGTCCTAAGTATGAAATAGTTTAAATAATAAATGCATATTGTTATTCTCAAATGTTTCCCAAAATTGATCGCCCTGAAGATCACAAAAAACATTTTATTAAAATTGAATATGTCAATAAAGGTTTTGACTTTCTAAATATTGCCAGTATTTTTAATGACCATTCTGTTAAAGAACAAACTCCTGGCTATTTTGATAATACTGAACTCCCTCTTATTTGTTATGTTTACAAAAAATCTACCCGGAAATATGTGTTTAATTACAGCGAAGTGTGTAAAGATGTTAATATCAGTGACAATACACCTACCTCATGAAATTGATGTAATTCCGAATACATTTATGGCCCCAGTTCCCATGTTATAACAGGAGACCTTAACATCGTTCGTGACCGAGAGTTGTAATCATTCCTCAGTAAAGGACCTAAATATCGTCCCCCGTCAATTATTAATTGAAATGAGTGTCGTAACATCATCCACGACTCACTCCATACTTACTGCTTTAAATGGATAAAACGAGAAAAAGCTGACAAGAAACCGTTAGATTCTTTTTTGAATTCGGTAATGAACATAGTTGATATACGTATTCAACATTTTAAAGATCATTTTACTCCTAATAACAGCCATAATAGCCCAGTTTCTCGTATCAAACATCAGCTAAAAGAACTTGCCAAGGAATTTGTTTTTGTCCCGGCTGATAAAGCTGCTAACAATATCATTATTGTTTGACGTAAATTTTACATTGAGGTTCTACAAAAGGAAATCATGAATTCACCAACATTCCAAATGACTCCATTTTTGGAAAATAACATCTGTAACAAACATAAACTTTACATGCAGAACCAAACACAATGAAAGTTCCAACTATGTACTGGCTTCCGAAGCTGCACAAAATAAACAAATATAGATTTATTTCGTCTTTAAGCCATTGTTCTACTACTGAGCTATCTATTCTACTTACTAGTACACTTGGTACAATCAAAAAATCGATTCGCTCGTGTTTGTAAAAACGTATTTGATTTCAACGAAAGAAATCTCTGTATTACTGAAAAATTATTACACCAGGGTTTTCGATAACACAAACTAGTCAAAACATTTACTAAATTTTATCATCGGTACAAGGACATCATTCGTAAATATAAATCAACATGTAGACATCTTATACGTTCAGGTATTTCACATCCAATATTTTATGGTAGTATTCTTTACAAAGCACAAAAATGTCGGCATTCACCTCAAAAGCTAATCAAACCATTAAACAGACTTATTCGGAAAGGATATAGTTACGATACTGTTGTCAGGTAATTAAGGATTGCATATATTGGTATTAATATTGATTCACTCATAGGGTCATTGCATCGGAAATAAACACTATTATTCTAAAACCAGTTGTTGGCATGATACGGGTTATGTTCTTCTCATATATTCTATGATTGTATGATACTATACCCCTAACGGGAAGGATTATACTTGATTTTCATATGATGAAGACATAATCTTTCAATCAGTTTAATTGAGGTCTGGAGCTGGCATGTCAGTAACTGCTAGTTGTCTTTTGTTAATTTATGTATCATTGTCATTTTGCTTAGTTTCTTTTGTTACCTATTCTGACATCGGACACGGAATTCTTTTGAACTGAGTTTTACTTTGCGTATTGCTATGTGTTTCTTTATTCTACATTGGCTAGAGATATAGGGAGAGGGTTGTGATCTCACAAAACATGTTTAACCCCGCCGCATTTTTGCGCCTGTCCCAAGTCAGGAGCCTCTGGCCTTTGTTAGTCTTGTATGTTTTTTTAATTTTAGTTCATTTATATGTTTTGGAGTTTAGTGTGATGTCCATTTTCACTGAACTAGTACACAATTTTATTTAGGGGCCAGCTGAGGACTACCTCCGGGTGCGGGATTTTCTCGCTGCGTTGAAGACCCATTGGTGGCCTTCGGCTGTTGTCTGCTCTTTGGTCGGGTTGTTGTCTCTTTGACATATTCACCATTTCCATTCTCAATTTTATTTTGTTTGGAAAGTATTATCTAAATGCTACAGAACTGGAAGAACGCTGGGGACATTTAGCAAAGTCTGTGGTTGATTTTGAAATCAAGAGAAGTTCGACGGATTCTTTGTAAAACTTTTCCGAAACCACAGTTTAACGCAGACGTTGCAGATTATGAGGCAAAATTAATTTCTCTTTGAATAGATGGCTGATTGATTTTAGTGACCGAAGTGATTTTTATTTTGCTAAATTTTTATGCTGAATTGCAATTTATACGTTGTGAACTTGGAGATGCGAAAATATTCATAGAGTTGCTGTTTTTAATTGTTCTGATACTGTTTAAAATCAAAATCATCCTATTGGACATTGACCTGTATTGTTTTGTCTTTCTAGACAATATAATAAAATCTTTGAAAATTTTATGAATTTCTCAAGCCATTAGATACTGGTATTTCAATTCTCTCGAATCATAATGATCTTCGAGTATGTGCCAAAACCTGTGATTCTATTTTGAAAAGACGCCGAGATGTTTTATATTGTAAATGATATCATGATGATACGTATTTTCATGATTAAAATTTTTCACCTTTAATGATTTAACACATCATAGATACCAGGCTTAAAATTTGTACGCCAGACGCGCGTTTTGTCTACAAAAGACTCATCGCTCAAATCAAAAAGGTTAAAAGGGCCAAATAAAAAACGAAGTTAAAGAGCATGCATGTTACTCTTGATGCAACGTCGTAATCTACTGTAAATGTATCGTTTATGCTCGCATTTGATAGAAATAAGGATATGTGATATAAGTGACGATGAGACAACTACCTACCAGCTAATTTTATATTTGTATAACATAAGTTGAGACGTAACTATAATATTGTATTGAGTTTATAGTTAAAAAAAAAAAAAAGGAAAATGGCACATGATTTTTACTTGTACATACTTGAAAAAATACAATCATTAATGAAGAAATCAGAACTTCGAACATATGAAATATATGTGGGATATACGTCTTCAATGAGACAACAATCAAGCAACGCTAATTTATCTTCTCGTCGGTTAAGTTAGTGACAGTTATCCTTCAATATATAATGTCATGCCATATGCACAATAATTATTCTTGAGTAGGTGATGAGGTGCAAGAAAGGTTGAGGATAAAAAGTTGACAATTTAAAGAAGATTTTTGTCAGGTTACACCTGAACCGCAAATTATATTAATAGTGAATTGAACAGCCAATATATAGCATTAGGAACTTATAAATGAAAACAAACTTATTGAAAATTTTGGTTTTATTTATAATCCCCCTACACTTTTATGTGTGTGGAGGGTGCAGTTACCTCTTAAGCTCACTCCCTGCTTTGCCACTTGCAGTAATTGTGTAATGCCTTACAAATTGTTTCATGTTTTGTAGAAACATTAACAGATCTTTTTTTTAAATATCAAACTACATGTATATAATCTTTTTAATTTCATTATTTTTTATATCTTTTTTTAAAGGACTACTTGCGCTAATACTTGTACCAACCAGTTTTGGACTATTTTTTGGACCGAGTTATTCCATTAGCTTAGAATCAGAACTCCGAACAGAATTATTCACAACTAATGAATATGAAGTTTTGCAAAGACCCGAGAAAAATGTCGTTATAAGTATAAGTATGACAATTCTTACAATCAACGATTTGGTAGGTAGTATTTCTATTTCATATGATTATACTTCCTATTCTGCAGTAAAATTTACACCATGCTGTCATTTAATGAAACCAGATAAATCTGCTTTTATGCTGCGTTCATCATCTTAGATCGGCATCTTGTGTCTTTTGTCTTGTTCTATTTGTTTTTTTTTTTCTTTTTTTTTTTTTTCTTTTAGCTTAGTACCGATCGAACTCCTACCAACCGAATTTTCTACCACTGTCCCAGGAGAGGAATTGGTTGAGCGCTTATACACATGATAAATCCCGCTACTTTTTTTATGTGCACGTCCATAGCCAGGAACTTGAATACAGCGGTTGATGTTTTCCACTATTTGTGATGTTTGTTTTTGCGTTCATTGTGATACTATAAATCAGACTGTTAGTTTTCTCTTTTGAATTGATTCACAGATATAGATTTAGATTCAATATTTTATTAAAGTCCTACCACTTGTAATACATATAATACAATAATCATAATATATACATTGTATAACACAGTAATTTTATAAGTTAAAATACAAGTGCCATTCTATAAAGAATTATCAGAGACTTAAGAAATTCCAATAAATTATAACTAGATATTTATCATGTCTATAAAATATTTCAGTTCTGTAAAAACATAACTACCAATCAAGCATATAAACACCTATTTCTTCTACTTAAAATATTAAAACAGGTCTTGGCAACCATATCATAACAATAGTTACTTTTAAAAAGATATATAAAATTATCATCATCAGATAAAATATCAAGATTAACATTACTTCCTTTAACTTCGTAAAATAAACTTTTACGCAAATCTGCATAAAAAGGACAGTCTAATAAAACACGTTTCTCATCTTCAATTTGATCATTACATAAAAAGCAAACTCTTTTATTTCCAGTTTTGTTTTCATAGCGACCTGTTTCTATTTGTTAAGGGGCGACGTTACCACTAAATTGAGCAAATGCACTTCTGTATCGACTTGAAATGTTCTTACTCAAATGCATCTCTGTTTCAAAAATATTTTCAAACAGTGTGACCTACCGATTTAGACTTATTACCGGGTTTGTACTAACATGAGCAACACGACGGGTGCCATATGTGGGTCAGGATCTGCATACTCTTCCGGAGTACCTGAGAGGTTCGTGATGCTGAGTCTTTAGTTTTCTATATTGTTTTGTGTACTATTGTTTGTCTGTTTGTCTTTTTCTTTTTTAGCCATGGCGTTGTCAGTTTATTTTCGACTTATGAGTTTGAATGTCCCTTTTGTATCTTTCGCCTCTCCTTTTTCAAACAATGTATTAGTCCGTAATTGTTTTCAAACATTTTATTACAATATTCTATTATGCCAATTTACCGTATATTTTTCAAATGAATAATCTTCTAACTGAGTTATAACATTTTTTTGCAACAGATTCTATAAATTAGTGTATAAATCTAAATTAAATTCTCTAAATATTTTCATAATTCGGTTACAACAGTTTTTCTTTTTATTAATACCATTTCTAAAAGCCAATCGAAACACTCTATCTGTTGACACAGTACTACATCTTGCCCAATGTCCAAAACCACAATTTCACTGCTTAACACATGGAGGTTTCCAAATCATATCCCTATTAATGGCGTCATTAGGTGTATATTTACGAAGACCCATAAAAATTGGATAGCTTTGTGTTGAACAGCAATTATGCAAGAAAAATCTGTAGTGCCCCCAGAAGGCTGCACCATAACTTACAACTTGCCAGACTAGGCTATCAAAAAGTTTGGTATATGTATTGAGGGGAAACCTCCATGCGCTTTACTCATTACAATCAGTAAACTCAATGCTCTCCTTGCTGACCTAGCTACAGCTTTCGCCATCTCATTATAATCAAGAAATTTAGTCAAAAATAAGCTAATATATTGATATTTTGATACAATACACAATTGTGTTTCGCCAAGTAAAATATTACATTTGTTGGTTGTATAGAGGGATTTTGTCTTTTTCAAAGTTAATATTATTATTATGCCATTTCGGAACCTTGTAGAGCTTACTTTAAGGTAAATGTATTTGCTCATTATTAAAACCCGCACTGTGATTGATCTTTAATTATTTGTTCTCAAATTTGTCCATTGATCTTTATAAACAATTGTATTAATGGCAGTAATGCTACATTTCCTCATTTTGATGATTATCTTAAAATGAGGTCAAATTCATGAAACAACTCCTTCTAAGTCATTGAAAGCTATCGTTTTGGATCAACTTTAATATCATGGTGTGAATTAGACATACCCCATCGACCAAACACCCTAAGTGATATATTGCATATTTATATTGATACGATATTATCGTTATTATGTTAAAGAATTTATAAACTATCATAACTATTGTTCGACACTTATTTATGGTTGAAGACAGTTTATTGACCTCTAAAACTCTGATATCTGATCGTTTAATGTGTTCTTTAGTTGTTTTCTCATTGACGTATTCACCATGACAGCTTTTTTTCTTGCATTATTAATCATCGAAAACACAAAGACTAGTTTATTTCATATTCTTAGTGGTTTCAAAGTCTCACATATCATATAACAGTGAACAATATTTGAAATTATGTTTGTCCCCGGTGCGACGCGTTGCGAGGCACATATGATTCTGGGTGGGCGTCCGTCCGTACGTCCGTCTGTCTGTTCGTCCGGTCTTGTTAGCGCTTTTACACTGTACGATTCTTCCTAGATTTTTACAAAACTTTTATCATAAGTTTATTTGCCCCTTCGAAACATCAATTATATGGAAAATTGTATTGTTAGCGCTCTTATTTGTACAATTTCTGTCAGATATTTATGAAACTTATGTCATAAGTTTATATCAGCAATATCCCGGACAAGTTCGAAAATCAATGCCGATCGACAATTTCAAAAGAGTTATGTCCCCTGGAAATATTAATTATTTGAAAAAATTGCAGTGCAATCGCTCTCACGTGTACAATTTTTGTCTGATTTTTATCAAATTTATATCAAAGTTTATATCAGCAGTGTCTTGGACAATCTCGATATCAGTGCCGATCAAATATTTTAAAAGAGTTATGACCCTTGGAAATATTATTTATATGAAAAATTGCATTGTTAGCGCTCTCATGTGTATATTTCTTGCCGGATTTTTATCAAATTTATATTATAGGATTATATCAGCAATATCTCGAACAAGTTTGAAAATCAGTACCGATCGACAAATTTTTAACAGAGTTATGTCCCCTGGAAATATTAATTATTTGAAAAAATTGCAGTGCAATCGCTCTCACGTGTACAATTTTTGTCTGATTTTTATCAAATTTATATCAAAGTTTATATCAGCAATTTCTTGGACATTCTCGATATCAGTGCCGATGAAATATTTTAAAAGAGTTATGCTCTTGGAAATATTTATTTTTCAGAAATTGCATTGCATTTGCTCTCAAGCCCTCATTTCTCTTAGATATTTATAAAACTTTCAAAGAACAAAAAAAGTTTTTTTAGTTATTGTCCCTGGACAGATTAAATATGTGCATTGCAAGGGACATTGGAACTCTTTCCTTATGTTGATATGAATATTATTTGAAATATTATATATTCACTCACCACTTTAGCACTGCGGGTTTATCTCTTTTTATATGCGTTCATCAAAGAATTGTTAAAAAGACCATCAATCGGTATATCGAGGCAAAGACTCGTGAAGTCAAAGGAAAAAAAAAAGTACTGCAATCGATCAGCAATGCATTTTTGTTAATCTTTAAAAGTCTCTGATAAACTTGATCAGGCTAGGGACAAGGTACTAGGCGTTCGATATCGTACAAACACCTTTCCAATGTTGAAAACTGTGTTTTGACCTCTAGATGTTTGTTTACGTTAACGTTTACATCATATCTCAACTTATTCGGCTTATTTTGCAAATAAACCTGAACCAAAACAGCAAAACAATGTTTGTCGAAATAATTTTACATAAAGGATAGTACTTTATATGTGAAGTTAAAAGTCACAAGTTCAAAAGAACACACAAAACATAAATAGCTCAGTGAAATATCAATGGATTACAATAAGAAAAACAAATATCTTTATAACGGAAAAATATTTACTTTTTCTGTTGAATTTATATTTAAAGTCATATGATCCTTCAAATTTAACCACCAAAAAAATGAATAAGTTTTATATACTTGAACGGTTAAGTTTGACTATAAAACATGTGTACAAAGACTTTCTTTATGTATCTAAAGAGTTTATCTGTAATAAATAGTATGCTTGTGCTTTCAGAACATAAAAGACCAGGCACTGTCTATATCAGGATATCTAACATTTGTAAGTAATTTGACTATTTTAATTAACTGAAAATGTAAATAGAATTGCGAAAATTTGTAGAAGACGCACAAAACATATATTTTGTCAAAATAAGAAAACAGCAAACAATCCCCCAAACCCCACCCAATCCCGCAAAAAAAACCCACCAACAACAGATACAAAAACGAAAGCAAAACCAAAACCAAAACAATACACATACACAAATGGGTTAACTGTTAATATTTCCACTGTATTTTATTTCTGTTGTGCTAAATTTTGTCACCAACTTGGTTCAGTTCTGAATCTGTTTGAAATATTCATTTTCTAACTAGAGATTCAATATTACCTTACATAATTGTCTTTTATGAGCTACATCTGTCGTGTTTGCTTAATGTAAAAGAGTTGAAACGGCCTCTTTACATCTTAGTTTTGAGATATAAATTATCCTTTAAATGATTAATACTTTTAATTAGGAATCCATATCTTGTCTCTTCCATGCTATGAAGGGTTGACAAAGCTTCTGGATTATTCGATTCCTCACGTCCTTGCTTTAAGAATAAACGATGGTATTTCATACTTTGGTAAACCCTATTTTCCGTTCTTGTTTGTATGAGTACTTTTAATTTCGTAATTTGGTTGGTTTGAGTTGTTTTTTTTAAGTGTTCGCTTTGGTGCCTTACTCTTAATGAAGCAGTCAATTCAATGATTATAACAGTATGTTTGTCTGCAATGATGTAATGTATTTTTCACACTGTGCAACACAGTTTTAGTTTGTAACCCGGATTTGTTTTTATCTCTATCGATTAATGAGTTTCGAACAGCGGTATACTACTGTTGCCTTTATTTGCTACGTTTTGAGGCGTTTAGCTGTGGTGCACATTATAATTTTTTTCAGAACACTAATGTTTGCTTGTATCACAGATTTCATTGATATTATTAAATCAGAGAGTGTTTTTAGATTTTCTTTTCTCACATTTCGCATTTTCTGACATAGTCTTTTACATCTTCTTCCGTTATTCTAAATGTTCCATATCTTTGTAAGATTTTGCAAATTAATTGAAAACTAAAAACTTACCAAAACGTTTTTTGAATTATCTAACCTGCATGTTATTTTTTCCACCCTAAGAATTGGAGAGACAGTAGATTAGATTGGTCTGATCCTGCTAACACAACACAGGATTATCGAAGTATTGATTTTCTATTCAGTAACGAAGAATATGTTTGGAGACCGTCAATCATCATTGAAAATTCGTAAGTAGATCACCGATGTAATCAAAGATTCAATCAATTGCCAATATTTTGGATACATTTAGCAGTACATGTTCACCTTTAAACTTTGTGCATTTTTAAATAAAAATTAAAGGGTATTAGCCGTATAGATTGAATCATGTGACAATCTGTTAACGCCTGCATAATGAAATTAGCACAGCTTTAACAGTTGAAAATAAATTTAAACTGGCTTTTGGAAATTTTTCTGATCAAATATTAATATCCTACGTCTGCAAAATGAAAAAAAATGCCTCAAACAATTCCGTATCACTATTGAGTCCAGAACGCCAATGCATCAAAAAATGTGTGAATTTGTATGTGGTTCTCTTTGCGTACTCCTGCTTCCCCAACCACTTGAAATAAAACCAGGCTGTTTCCTGCTCTTTGGTAGGGTTGTTGTCCCTTTAACACATCCCCCATATCCATTCTCAATTCTATGGTATGACCAAAATGTATTGGAAGGCACAAGTCAATCTGTATGAATTAATTAGTAAAAGAAAGAATTCAATATTTGAAGAAAAAAAAGTATTTTAGATGTAATTTTTTATGAAATTCATAGACCCATAGATTTAAGGAGGACATTTTTAGGATCCAACACGTAAATGACCAGTGTAGGAAAATCGGTCTATCAAGTTAAACACCATAAAGCATATGGCAACCGCCGCAGTCTTTCGTATGGCTTACATCTTTTCAGAAGTTTTTTTTATAGATATAATACAGTCAATTTTATATTCACACATTATGAAAATCTACGATTTACTTGCAGGATACAGGATATGGGAGTAATTAGCGACAAATCAACACCTATGCGTATAACACACATGGGAACAGTAGTTTGGAGTCCATCGGGCATTTTTGTAGTAAGCTGTGAATCTGACACCACCTATTACCCATTAGATACACAAGAGTGCAAAGTAAAAGTTAGTTCTAAGGCCTACACAATAAATGAAGTATCTTTAATGCTGACTTTTAATCCTGTTATCTTAGATTTTTATTCAAAAAATGGAGAATGGGACCTTGTGTCAGCATCAGGATCAGATGTCAGTGATACTGCCGTTGGACAGTCTTCATTTTCAAGTGTTGATTTCGATATCAAACTTCGGCGTCGTCCTGTTTTCCACATTATAAACACACTGTTTCCAGTAGTTATGATGGCCATTCTGATTGCAATGGTATTTAAACTTCCTGTGGACTCTGGCGAGAGAAACGGATTTGCATTAACAGTGCTTCTGGCTTATGCTGTATATCTTTCAATTATTTCAGAAAATATTCCCAGCACTTCTGTTTCAGTTTGCTTCCTGTGTAAGTATACAGAGCTCAAAGACCGGGAAATATTTATTTTATATGATGATGTACATAGCAGGTAAACCACTTCAACGATTAACTTTATAATCATACTGAAAAAAAATCTATGCATCATGCTAACAAGGATTTTTTCAAGGATCAAGAATTATTTTATATTCAAATTACTTACTTATAGGCATAAATTTAAGCTGTTCCGCATAAGTTAATGTTCTTTTCATAGATTAAATATTAAGTATCAAAGAACCCGTAAAATACGATACCTGATCAAAATGATACTTACTAAAGTTTATGCTTTGGAATCGCTGTTCCGGAAATAATTATATCTTACCATGGAAGTAGGTATTTGGAATATAAAACAATTCTTGATATATTACAACAGGAACAGCTTACTCCCAACTGGCATAGCTAGGCCATTTTTAAGTGTACGCCCGAACCATGGCTATTGGTCTTGTAGGCCGTTTCAGGCACCTAGTGGTTCCAGGGGTGGGGCAAATTCCCCCGGAAGCTCACGCATTATCGAGAAAGAAATCCTATTTCTGCCAGTAAAAACTCATCAATAGCAAAATATGTTTTAGACCAATTGGTTTACTTTTTATTTCTATTTTATTAATTGTTTTAATTTATACTCAAATGGTCATTGGTTTAAGGGAAAAGTTTCCAAACCAGTTACTGTAAAATATTTTTAAAAGAAGATATGGGGTCGAACAATCTATCGACAAAAAATCCAAAACTTTAGAGATAGTAAACAAGAGGTAATAAAGAGCCACTTTTCTTCACCTAGGTTTATAAGCATCTTCAGCAATTAACACTCTCCAACGATGTGGACAATAATAGAATTCATTACAAAAATCTCTTCTCTGTTGATCTTGTATTGTTGATTATGCTTTCTGTTTACGGTTTCTCTCTACCTTTAGTTTTTGCCCAAAACTCAAAAAAGGATAAAAAAAATTGTCGTTTGAGTACAACCATTCCTTTTAAGAGTCTACTAATTATTTTGTCAAAATTTTACTTGTTTTGCGGACCAGTTTTGCTATTTAAAGTGTTTTTCTATTATGTATAGTTTTCAAGATAATAGCCAAAAAGGTAAAATATTGGAAACAATCGTCATTAAAGACCAAGAACTCCAATAAGGAGTAAACTGACTATTTCGGCCAGTAGACTTTTAAATTGTTGATGTTGTCTTGCTGATCATTTTTGCTTATTTACATTTCTATTTATCTATTATAGTTTTTCAGATATTAGTCAAAAACGTAAAAAAATGATAAAAATTGTCATTAAAAGGCAATAACTCGATAAGAAGTCGTCTGACGATTCGACCATGTATCTTATTTGTAGATCTTACCTTGTTGATTGTTTTATCTCTATCTATTGTCATTTTCACGATAATAGGCAAGAAACTTTAAAAATGGTAAAATTCGTCATCTAAGGGCAATAACTCCTAGCAGTTTTGAAGATGATAGACAAAACGCATTTTATCCTTATGTTCTATTTATAGCCATGTCGGTCATGTTGGTTGCAAGGCGGGGTCATCGGACACATTTTTTAAAACTAGATACCCCAATGATGATTGTGGCTGATTGGTTAAATTTAGTAGTTTCAGAGGAGATTTTTGTAAAAGTTGACGACGACAGACGACGATCGACTCCAAGTGATGAAAAAAGCTCACTTAGCCCTATGTAAAACTTCAGTCAAAATAATTTCGTTTATTAAACACTCAAATGTAGAGGTTTGTACAGTACGATATTGTGTATAAAAATGTCATTGAGACTTTGACAGAAAATGAAAAAAACATATATGATAAGATTTGATTAAAAAGTAAATTTCGTCACTCATTATTACAAGCAATGCAAGAAAGAAATACAGACTCGTGAGCTTTTAACCAATTCTTAAAGTAACTAATTTTTGTCTCCAAAATTTTTATGTTCACCCAGGCGTCTTGAAATAAACGAGTCTCATCCAAAACCGGAGTCAATAAACGGTTTTGGTTGAGTACGTGTTGCTCAATCTATGATTTTCTGTATATTGTTGGCAGACTGTTGTTTGTTGTTTTATTTCTATATAATTTGGTTTTTTTTGTTGTGTTTTATAATGATTTTGTTTTTTCGTTAACAAATAATTTTTCATAACTCCCTTGATATTTTCTTCTATTGTTATCTCAATTTAAACTGACGTAACTATTTTGGGATTTTAGTTACGGATAGCAATCAGTCAACTTGTAGTTTAAAAATCCAACAGAACGTCTATAATTTTAAGGCAACTTCAACTCAACGTAAATAACACAGATATTAATTGATAAACAAGTTTTGAAATCTTTCCTCACTATATTGATTTATGATTTTTTTTTCTTTCTATTTCAGCCTTGTACCTGGCGTTTGTTTTATTTCTTGCTGTAATGTCAGTAGTTTTGACCATATTTGTATTGCGTGCGCACTACGGGACCGGTAAAATCCCTAAACTACTGAAAATTGTATTCAACTGTACATCACGTTCAAAAGTTGATGTTCAGATATTAGAAAAAAAAGATGTAGGAGAATACAAACATGAAGAAAACAAACTGACATGGCAAAAAGTTGCTGTAAAAATGGATACTGTGTTTTTCTATGTTTACGTATTGTTAATATCTGTTGTTACGTCTGTACTCACAGTTGCATACATTATTCATTATCGTAGTATTTAGTCGTTACGTCTGTACTCACAGTAGCATCCATGATTCATTATTGTAGTATTTAGTCGTTACGTCTGTACTCACAGTAGCATATTTTATTCATTATCGTAGTATTTAGTTGTTACGTCTGTACTCACAGTATCATACATTATTTATTATCGTAGTATTTACTATAAACCGGGAAATTTCGCGCCGTCTTTTTTCAACAAAATCTAGATTCGCGCCGTTTTCAATTTGCGATGTCCCGGTGTCCTATATAAGTTTTTTCATAAATGATTTGGAAACTGTATAGTTTTAATACATGTATTTAAATCAAGTGATAAAACCAATCAAAAATCCTTTTGACGGTTAAGATTTGAAATTATAAATCATGATTGCTTGTAAAAACACATTCAGAATAAACAGAGAGGAATGACCTAATTAAGAGTGTATTAAATGCTGACAGAATTACTTACTCTTTTGATCTGAATGATATGTACAGTATATGCAATGAGTAATCATTTTAAAACTGATTGACCGGAGTCATTTACATAACTGTAACGATAGATGTTCATTTAGGAATATCCGTAATGTCCACTTGCTGAAGATGTCTTCCATGTTAGTTAGACTATCATGAGATATAGTTTTGAATTTCTAAAATTGACTTTCCTTTAGAAATAAAGTAATGGTTTGCGGTATAGATATGTGGTCTGTAAAACTGATGTTTCAAATTAGTCATCTACATATCTTTTTGACATATGGTCATAATCGGTCTTGTATGGACTTTATCTTTGTGTTCGGATTTCCTTGAAATATTCACGATCGTTCGAAAATAGCGAAAATAAAACTGCCGTGAAAATTTCCCTGTTTATAGTAGTTGTTACATTGTACGTCTGTACTCACAGTAGCAAACATTATTCATTATTGTAGTATTTAGTTTTTACGTCTGTACTCACAGTAGCATACATTATTTATTATCGTAGTATTGAGTTGTTACATCTGTACTCACAGTAGCATACATTATTCATAATCGTATTATTTTGTTGTTAGTTCTGTACTCACAGAAACATACATTATTGTATATGATATCGAATGTACAAACATTACGCTATACGTAAATGGTGAATCGAAGAAAGTAATACCTATGACAAACAATTAGTTTCTATGTCGTGATCAATTATTTGTCTCATGAATAAAAACAACACAAATGTAGAATTGGCGAATTTGTCATGGCTTTAATTTTACAACAATATCATAACAACAATCAGATTTTCAAAAGGCCAAAGAATAAATCATTCAATGACAGTATAATTATGTTTTTCTTTGATTCAGTAAAGGGCAACCAGCACTGAAAAGGTGGTAACTGGGCTTCCAGTACCTAAATAAGATAAATTCCGCCATACACACTGATTGTTCAAATGGATCACAGCACTATCCACCATATGTCATAATGATCAAATTATTATTCTTCAAAGCCATGACGATTTAGTAACGACTGCATACAAAATCTGTAATCATAAAAAATATCAGCAGCAAATAAATAATTTTCAGGGTAGGGTGTGGTGGGTTATTTTGTCCTTTCACTCCGTCTAAAGTTTGTTAAACAATGAAACAACATGCCCGAAACAACTGGTTTTACTTTTGTCTGAATTCCCGCCTTTTTTATGCACGAGATAATTGCGTATCGCTTGTGTACAGAAAAATATATAATATAAAACCGGTTTAATATGTCGCTTGCAACAATCAAAACTTTAAATAAGGGAGATAAATCAAATACTTATCAATTCAATAAATAAATTTAATTCATATTGATTAAATTTCATTATTCATTATCGTAGTATATAGGGCAGTGGTCTATGTGTAACTTGCCTGCAAATACTCAACTCAGTTCTAAGGTTATCTAGACAAATGTCACTTACAATTTCTATATTTAGTCTAAATATTGTTTTAACATTATTAGGAGCCTTGTCATTTATTTAGATTGCAACTTTTTCGACACATTTTTAATAATCGTAGTTTTTAATTCAGTAACATTTGTCTTTTTCTGTTTTTCAAATTATTCTTCAACAAGACGTTAAGGAATGAATATTCAATCAATCATTAATCTTCAGTGTTTCTCGACACAATTCCTCTACTCTTTAATTTCTCGAGCTTATATTTATATATTTCTATCGATCTTTCTGTTTCTTTTATCATACATGTACTTTGCGTTAGATAATATGATTACGGCACGGACTTTTTATAGAATTTGGGCAACAAATTATCCTTGACGATTTTCATTGTCAAAACAATGTGAAAAATACAAAGACACAAGACTTGAATTTATTACTACTGTACTTGCAGAATAACACCTTTGATTATTCATTTAACTGAATACATTATCCAATAACCGGCAATGCAGCGTCTGACATAAGATTTAAAATATAGAAAATGAGAAAGAAGTGGCAAACGGTTTTTAGCTCCCGACATGTCGAAATTAGGTCATGAGCTGTATTTGATTATAAATCATGAAATGGAAAGGAGAACAGCTTTGGTACCAACAAAAAATTAAAAAAATATCCGTGGATATCAAATACATACATTACAATAGTTGTATCCATCTCATGATGTCGCTAATAATTGCTAATAATACCTAGCATGTGAAACACGACGCGTGCCACATTTTGAGCAGAATTTACTTACCCTTCCGAAGCGCTATCACCAAACATGATGTGGTTCGTGTTGCTCAGTCTTAAGTTTTCATATGTAGTGATTTGTAGACGGTTGCTTGTCTTTTTTTATCGTTGTTCTATTTTTTTTTTTTATTATTTTATCGGTCTCTCTTTGAATTTTCAAGGTTGTTTGTCGAATTATGAGTTTTGAGTTTCCCTTTTGTATTTTCCGCCTCTTTTTTTTGGCATACGCTACCCGAATAAGACATCCGTCATATATATATATGAATATGATATGTGTTTTCAGCCGTGTATCACCTTCACTGTGATCCAGTGGATGGATCTGTCCTAGAGTTGTCACTTGTTTAGACGTACTTAAAAATAATTATTTCTGTAACTGCATCATACGATCCTTTAGTACAGAAAACTATCAATTTATGCCTAATATATCATGTACTGTGTTACAACTCTAGATTCTATTGACGAGGAAAGGTAACACTAGTCCACCGAAAGCTGAATTTTTAGTTCAGTCTAGGTGGCTGAGTCGTCTACAGCGCTGGACACAGTGAAGGCGGTGTTGTCTCGATATCCCAATAGCATGAGTTTGAATCCTGGCGAGGGAAGAACAAAAGTTTGCTTCTGCAAATTTGCAGATTCAACATTGTTGTGATGATATTTAGGGTAATTATGTATATATATATATATATATATTTATATGTACAAGTCTAAATTGAAAACAACGTTCAAACCTATGATTGATTGCGTTGGATAAAATACGCAATTTTTATACGTGTGCATGCAAAACAAATTTCTTGTTAGAGGGGTCTAAATACAGCACAAACAACATTTTCCAAAAGACCAAAAAAGTGAAAAAGTATATTTTAACAAAACGCATTTGACTAACAGGTCGAACAACAAATGTTCTTAAACCCTGCTGACTGCAATTGGCGATTGCCAAATAAATGGATCACCGATGTAAAAAATGGATCTTAATTATAAATTTAATACTTAACAGAAAACAATAAACTTGCGGAAAAGATGGTATACCGCAAACAAAAGGTGCAAAGGTTTTTGTACACCATATCCGGATTTCGAAAATTATTGTCTCTTCAGTGATGTTAGGAATCGAAACGGTATTTGGAAAGCCATACAATTTACCTCAATTTAGGATAGACTCTTGAATTTTGAGGAGTCAAAATAGGATGCACGGATCATATAAACCCGAAGGCAAATATAATATAGGCCCAAACGAAAAAATATAAACGAATCTAAATTGAAAACAACGTTCAAACCTATGATTGCGTTGGATAAAAACCGCAATTTTTATACGTGTGTATGCAAAACAAATTTCTTGTTAGAGGGGTATAAATACAGCACAACCAACATTTTCCAAAAGACCAAAAAAGTGAAAAAGTATATTTTAACAAAACGCATTTGACTAACAGGTCGAACAACACATGTTCTTAAACCCTGCTGACTGCCATTGGCGATTGCCAAATAAACGGATCACCGATGTAAAAAAAATAGATCTTAATTATAAATTTAATACTAAACAGAAAACAATAAACTTGCGGAAAAGATGGTATACCGCAAACAAAAGGTGCAAAGGTTTTTGTACACCATATCCGGATTTGGACAATTAATGTCTCTTCAGTGATGTTAGGAATCGAAACGGTATTTGGAAAGCCATACAATTTACCTCAATTTAGGATAGACTCTTGAATTTTGAGGAGTCAAAATAGGATGAACGGATCATATAAACCCAAAGGCAAATATAATACAAGCCCAAACGAAAAAATATAAACATGTCAAATTTATATATATATATCTATCAGTATGCTTCTTAATTGCAATATCAATTTAGACTCTTACGGCTTATTTACCCATAATAAATGATCGGATTTTTGTTAAGAAACTCCTGGCGATTAGTTTTTGACAAGAAGCTTTATTATTTAAAGGAATATGACTATTTCTCCCTGAATCTGTTTCACTCAGTCACGGGATTAAGTTCCGAAAGTTGTTGAAACATAGTGGAATTTTGCTTAAAGAATTAAAGGGGAAAAATGCCGAATTGTCAATGTATGGATAACATTAAAATTATAATTATTGGTAAAATTAAAACATCTTATAATTTTTATATATCGGTTGGCACTGAGTAAAAGCACTAGTGAGCAGAGCTTTTTTCATCTTATTTCGTTTAAAATGTAAATTTATGACTGGTGATATGTAACAAACATCATACATAGGAATATTATGAAAAACGAATCGTGTCTTAAGCAGAGTAAACAAAGGGCATGTGTAATAATGTGTAAGTTTTGACTATCAGCGCTTATCCAACAGTACAAATGTATCCAACGGGATCCTATATCAAAACAGTCATCGATCAGTCAGGAATACCCATACTCATCCAGGTTCTGATCTTTTGTATATAATTTCTTCTCCTTTACGTAACGTGTTCCAGAGTCTACACTGTTCTCATTCAACAAAAACTAAAATAAAAATTGTCTTGAAATACATTTCTTACCTTCAGGTGTGTATGATTTGCTTTTTTTAAATTATTTTTTTTAAGAAGGGGGATTTTATGAAACTGTTTAAGATTATCAATGCTAAATAGTTTATCTTTTTGCATTATTTTTTGAAATTTGGTATGACATAATAGTAGTATGTCAAAATATTTGATACATTATGAATTATTTTGTTAGCTCTTCCGAACGCCATTTCTCACTTAAAACGGAGTATTTTTATCAATTTTTATCAATTACACAAAAATATACTTTTGAAGTTTCAAGAATATTTAAACAATTAGATATGAAAATAAGATGTGATATGATTGTCATGAGAGAACGATCGACCAGAGACCAAAAGCAACTTACATTAAATGGTTTTAAATAACCACGTTAAATATATTTTTAGATCTTTTATTCAAACAAAAATTGTTTGCTTACCTTTAGGTTTTACAAGGATTCGTATTGCTTAGGCTTTATTTCGCAGTGTTTACATGTGCTGATCACTTTTTGGCGGACTTATTGGACACTGGATTTTCATATTCTATTTTTCGATGCTTCGGTACCCTTCTATTCTTTTTCAGATAAGTGTAATTTTACATAATTCAATGTAAAATATCAAGTCGATCTACAATTAAGAAGGTAACGTTGTTTGTTAAAATATAATAAGAATCAGAGGAACTAAAAAACGAATTAAGGTTAGACGTTAGGCTGGTAGTTAATGTTACAATGGTCATACTATTCCAACAATCATATTATTTTATAACTGTCAGCTGTCAGTACCCTCCCCCCTCCCCAAAAAAAAATTTGTTTGAAATTTAGTATTTATAAAAACTCGTATATTGTTATAATTTAATGCATCAGACGACTTAGAATTCTCAAAGGAATCACCAGTGTCAGTGTTAAATTAGCTAAAACGCTGTTGTGGTCATTTAATTTTTTAATACAACAGCACGACATTTTAAGGCATGATTTTCAGAATTTCTTCCTTAGCAAAAATAGTGTTTGATATGTCTCAATTAGTGAAATGGTCACAACGATAGTATGATTTGGCATATCGTTTC